CTTCTCTAGCCGTGGCTTTACAATATCTTCAAAAATGTTCTTCTAATTGAAAACTTTCTCCTTCCAAAGTGTATGATCTTCTTAGAATTAAAAGGACTACTCATGCTTGGATGTCTTTCATTTGGAAACCGTATGTCCCTCCCAAGTTCTCTTTTATCATGTGGCTTGCCTTTCGTAATAGGCTAGCAACTTCGGATAACTTGGGATATCTTGATTTACCTAACGTTTGTTACTTTTGTAAGGGTGGCTCAAAAACAGTGCCACGCCTATTTTTTGAATGTTGTGTTACAAGACAGGTTTGGAAAACAATTAGAGAATGGCTAGGAATGAAAAGGCAAATGACATCGCTGAGGAGCTCCGTGAAGTGGATCCAAAAGGAGTGAAATGGTGCGCACATCCGAGCCAAAGCTATGAGGATAGCATTCAACTTTACTATATATTGGATTTGGAGGATAAGAAACTCCCTACGTTTTGATGGTGCTACATGCAATGTGGAGGATATGATTACCCACATTAAGTTTATGGTCTACAAAGTGCTATATTCCATCTATCCATGCAATATGATTACCTTTTGAAACTATTGTCACCTATTTTTTTTGGCTATGGGCTTCATAGAGATTAGATATTGATCTTTTTTGTTGGTGATAAGGCATCCTTACTTGGGATAGTCTACATTTTTGTCCATATACATGTTGTACAGAACTACTCTTGGATATATATATATTTACAGTTCATCCAAACAAAACATACTTACATACAGTTATGTAGTCAGCCCATGGGCCCATGTTCATTTAGAAGCACCCTTCCCTATTCCTCGTGACTACTAGTCACGATCGTCATAAAATTTCTAGTATGTCACTATGCCGTCATAGTGATTTGCCCTAGTACTTTATAGCATTATTATAGAGCCCCACTCTATTACAATATCACACCGTGCTAGAGCCCCGCTCTAGTCATCACTACGTTATGCTATAGCCTCGCTCTAGTCATCACTATGTTATGCTAAAGTCCCGCGCTAGTCATGACTACATTGTGCTAGAGCTCCGCTCTTTGTCACATCATTCAATCCCTAAGCATTTTCTTTGCATAGAATTAAATTACCTTGATTAGCCTTTAAGGCCTACCCCTAATATACTTAGAGTTCATGCATTTCTATCTTTAAGTATCTCTTAAGACTATTTAAGGCCCCACTTCTCACAATCCAACCTTAGGATCAATTCTATCATAATTCATATTAACATCTCATCTAGTATCTTAATACTAGTCGGATTAACCTTAGAACAATCGAGTTCCCAATTCATGTTGCCCATCAATACCTCGTTAAGATACAAACCATAGGCAAATATTCAGTCTAGGATTGATTCATCAATCTAGTCACCTCGGGTCCTCTCTTAAGGAATGCCTGAAGCATAACTTAAATTCTGTTTTCTTACAGTTATGCTAACTGTCTCATATCATACAATGCTCCATATGGAAGCGATCCAATACTTGCCCGGTAGCTATTGCTACAGGAAAGACTCCCACGTATCAAGTATCACTCCCAACTCTCGTGGGGTTTCAAAAATAAGTAACCATCTTTGGCTCTAACTTCCACCTCACATACTCGTGCTGCCCACCCATAGGTGGATGGATATAACATTAAACTTCAATTTAGCTCCTCAGGTTCATTGTTATCCCCTCGTGAGCTCCTGATACTCATACAATAATGAGTAACGTCTAAGGCGAATTAGCTAAGTGTTTTGACCACTATATTGGTCTTGTTTGTATGGTATTATATCACTCGGTGATAAATCAATCGCCGGTTATACCCATTGTTTAAGTCTTACATAGACTCATCATTAACAATTACTTATGTCGAACTTTAATGCTCAATCCATATGTTATATACGATTCACAGTTCTTCTTACTGATGATCTTGCCCTCTTACAGTGTAACACATGTATACACAACTTGTTCGCTTACAACTCGGAGCGTAGGGCCCCGCCCTTATTTCTCTCGAGATCACAATTTCCCGAGTAACAACCAACACTAGCACATTGCTTCTCAATTAGTTCCCTCTCGAGGATATATTCTTTGGGGTTCAATCGTACTCAACGAAATTAGACATTACATTCAATCTCCTTCATTCACTACTACCATTATGTAATGGTATGTACCGACCGTCATATCATTTCAATTAACAAGTGCCCCTCTCACACTTTCTCAACACGTCTCCGTATTAAAGATGATTTTACCATCCTCCCACACACCTTTAGTGTTCCTACACTTCAAGTCAATGCAAGGCACACTCACCTTCGTAACGGTTCATTTCAAGGCTCAACAGATGTCACGGGCTCAAAACAGACGCAATCCGTCTGACTTTACCATAAACTGCCCGATTTTCAAACGATGGGTATTAATCACAAGAAAATTACAAACGCCGGCTGGTTTCCATGAAAGCTGGCCGATTCACATACCCAAACCTACCCTTCAAAATTTTACCTGCGTAAGCCGGGCGGTTTCCACGAAAGCCGACCAATTTTTGATGTCGTACTCTTTCCCAAAAAAAATCTGAAGGCCGGCTGGTTTCCATGAAAGCCGGCCAGTTTGTGGCGCCGTAGTTAACTTCATGTAATTCAACCCAAAAGTCGACCGGGTTTTGCCGAAGCTGGGCGATTTTTGAGTGATTCCAAGCATCACAAATTTATTTCCAAAAATATTTAATGCACAAGCCACCCGGGTTTTACTCAAGACGTACGGCTTTTGTCATTTCCAATGATACCTTTCAATTTCCTTGCCAAAACCGGTCGGTTTTCCCCTAGGCCGGTCGACAATTGACCCGTGGAACCTTTGTTACTTAAATGTGCATTCAAATCAAGTTTTTAAGAAGGATGACATGTAACAGTGGATGTGCCCATGCAAGAATTTGCCTCCTCCCTCGTGTGAACTCGTCATTGAGTTCTTCTTTGATTCACAGAGTGTATGTTGCTCACATTACTCCCTTAGGTCGTGTGCTTGCTTGAGACGTCCCTACCAGGTTCATGTCTCTTATGGTTCCTTCATTAGCTTCTGAAGTCCTGTCACTTCCTCCTTGAGGACAATGGAACTTCACGTGTCTCGTATACCCACAAAAGAAACACCTCCTTGGTTCACGACACTTCCCGTAGTGGTACTTATTGCAATTATCACATCTCTGCACCCTAGAGCCTAGGGATTTCACCCCTAGGGTCATAGACCCTTGATTATGCCTTGACGGTGGCGAAGATACTTCAAAACTTCCCTCGACTCCGATGCTTTGCCTTTTGCTGTGATTGTGGGGGTCATAGATTTCACACTTCCTATTTCTAGCCTCCTTGGCATCTTTAGCTTTTCTTTCTTCCCACATCTCTTCCCCGATAAGGCCTTGTATCACCACCTCATTAAAAGTCATGTTCTTTTGGTAGATCGCCCTCTCACGCACCTCCAAATTCAATGCGTTCCAGAAGTGGTCAACCATATGATCCTCATTTGTCGCATGCTCGGGAAGAAATCTAGCCAAGTCTCAAAACTTTTGTTCTAATTGTTTGATTGTGTACTCCTCATCTTGTTTGAGGTTAGTGTACTCTCTCCTCTTTTGATTTACTTTAAAGGAAGAGTAGTATTGTCCATAGAATTCAAGCTCGAAGTTGTCCCATGTGACGACTCTGTTGTGTTTCCCATTAACACCATCCCACCATGTTGAAGCCAATCCCTCCAATATTCTAGTGGTTACCCTCATCTTAAGATTAGGCGTCAATTGCATATTGTCAGCTGTCTCATTAAGCCTCTTAACCCATCCAGCGGCCTCAGATATGTCTCCCGTTCCATTAATCGGTTTACATCTGAGTGCTCGTGCATCTTTAAGATACTTAGAGACCCTCATAATAAGATACTTAAATTGAAATGTGCAGCACAAATGGTACGATACAATGACATTTTGTGAAGCTGAATTGTGCATTAGGTAAAATTGAAATGTGCATTAGGTCAAACTGAAAAGTGCAGAATAAAAGGTACGATGTGATGTTATTTTTGTACATTTTTTCCGCACATTTCAGTTTCACCTAATGCACATTTGAGTTTAAATTTTTATTCTGCACATTTCAGTATCATGTAATACACATTTTAGTTTAATAAGAACGGACTACCAGGAGAGAAATAAGAACGATTCTGGACCGTTGGATTGTATTATGTGGAACGAAAATGTGCATTTGGTGAAACTCAAATGTGCATTACATGATATTGAAATGTGTAGAATAGAAATTTAAACTCAATTGTGCATTAGGTGAAATTGAAATGTGCGGAATAAAATGTACAAAAATAACATCACATCGTACCTTTTATTCTGCACATTTCAGTTTCACCTAGTGCACATTTCGATTTCATATAATGCACAATTCAGCTTCACTTAATGACATTGTATCATACGTTTTGTGTTGCACATTTCAATTTCACATAATGCACATTACAATTTCATCTAATGCACATTGAATTTCACATAAAGCAAATCTAACGGTCCAGATTCATTTTTATTTCTCTCCTAAGATCATGTTCTCATTTGAACCAAAACATATATATATATATATATATATATATATATATATATATATATATATATATATATGAGAGAGAGAGAAGATCAGGTGAGATGTCCCCATTAAGATGAGAAGTGAGAAGTAATCTCAACCTTTGGATTTGTATTTAATCTTACAACGCAACAAACTTATAGACTGAATATAGGAACTTATAACCAATAAATCATAACTTATAAAGCTCTCCATCATAATTACGGAAATGCCACCGCGTCAAAAATATTTCCAGGTTTCTGGAGTTATTTTGACGCGGTGGCATTTTTGTAATTATTTTCGAGGGGGTCTATAAGTTATGATTTATTGGTTAAAATTTTGTATTTTAAGCCTATAAGTTTGACTTCATAATTCTAAGCCTGAGGGCACTTCTCACCTGATCCGCTCCCTATATATATACACTAGGAATAATCATAATAAGGAGCCTCAGTACACGAATCTTCCATAACTTGCTGAACCAGAAACATGATAACAAATTACATCCGGCAATAATAAAAATCAAGGAAGTAGTATTAAGACAAAGTACAAACCAACTACAACGACGCCATAACACCATATTGAAAAATAAAAATTTTGTTTCAGCGCGGAGAAGAAGCGTTCGTACTATGAAACAGAAGGAGCTAGAGCTTGAAGAAAGTTTACAGTCTCGGCCAGACGATCCTTGTCTCCATTTAGATTTGGGACTGCATCTATGGGAGAAGGCTGACAGCAGTATTGTTGAAGAAGAGGCCAGGGGGAAGGCTGTCGAACAATTTCTCATATCTGCTAAACTCAACCCTCAGAATGGGGTACCTTTTAGGTATTTGGGTCATTATTACGCCCGCTTCTTGTGTGACCCTCAGAGGGCTTTGAAGTGCTACCACCGAGCTATTTGTCTCAATCCCGATGATTCTGATGCTGGGGTAGATTTTGAAACCCTGCCTCTGCAATGCAATTGTATTAATTTAATTATTTAGTTCTGGAAAATATTCAAAATTCATGAAAGAAGTCTTAAAATGAATGCAGGAAGAGATGTGTGAACTACTGGAAGAAAGTGGAAAAGAGAACCTGGAGATAGCTGTCTGTCGAGAGGCCTCGGAAAAGTCAACTCGTGCCTTTTGGGCTTTCCGCAGACTTGGTTATCTTCTGGTAAATATTGATTCTTTGTCTGTTTACTTCTTCGCGTGAGGAAACCCAGTCCCCTTACTGCCTTGCATCTTGCAGGTCCACCAACAAAAATGGGCTGATGCAATACCAAGTCTTCAGCACGCTATCAGAGGGTATCCCACATGTACTGATTTGTGGGAGGTCATTTACTCTTTCCGTTCTCGTTTTGTCTTACTTTTGGTGTTTTCTTAGTCGACTTGATTAATATTCATTGCTTCCCTTTTCCCCCTTTTCAGGCACTAGGTCTTTCCTATCAGCAGATGGGTATGTTCACTGCTGCCACTAAGGTGACATTTTAACTGCACGTTTTGCTATTGATGTTTATCTGCTATAGTATTTGTTTGTTTTTCCTTTTGTTTTCCACCTTTCCTTGAACACAAAAACTTACTTTTCTTAAATTGTAATTCAAATCAAAGACCTGGGCATTTTTATTTGGATCGGGATCAAGGTTTAAAAGGCTAGTTCGGCTATCGAGGCGGTTTGTTCAAGAGAGGCGAGGCGTAAGCCTCAAAGTGTACCAACAAGTAAAACTTAAAATAGTTAAACTAGTAATGACCAACTATAGATATGCATAATGAAAGTCCAAAAAGTCTCAAACACACACATATATGATCACATAATCTCAAACACAATAACTCAAAATGAGAATTGAAACACAAAACAGACTCATCACATCAATGACAATTTGAAACTCTCGAAGCTTAATCATCATGATCGGAGGGTCTTCAGAAGAATCATTATATATTTACATCTTATCGTCTCTCACCATCATCCTTTCTATCATCACTATCATAATCCTTAAGTTGTTTCTCTTCTTTATCATCATTTACCTCCATTACTTGTTTATTTTTTTTTATTTTTTCCTTGGTTAGCCATCTGCTTCTTTGTGTAGAAGTATGAATAAGTTTTAATGACACACAAAATGCTTAATAGGGAGTATATGTTAGGGTTTAAATGAAACAAGACTTGTTTGGGTTTATTGTGGACATGTGTTTCACGTATGAGCCTTTTATTAAATAAATACACTGCCTTTTTAAGCTACAAGAACATTAAAAAGGTAGAAGAAAAGGAAAACCGCCTCAAGGCGGGCGTACGCCTTGAATTTTGAGGCGTAAGCCTCTTGTCCTGTGAAAAAACCTAAGCCTCAAAACCTTTTATGTACGCCTCACCTTGAGACGTGCTTGAAAACCCGCCTCTTAAGCGCTTTTTTAAACCATGATCAGGATCTTAATCTTTTGTTCTTTCAGGGCTTTGATTGAAAATACCTTTACTCTAAGAACTACAAAATGTTTATCTGTTTCTCATGCTAGCTCAAGAACATAATAAATAAAAGAATAGTGGAAGCATGCAAATTATCAACATATTGAAGATTGAGTGATTGATTCAACTCCACATTCATTGAACATTGTATTGGTGATTGACAAAGCTTAGTGTTTCTAACGTTGTGTGATTATCTTTATTGGAATGGAATAGTCGTATGGGCGAGCTATTGAGTTAGATGAATCAAGAGTTTTTGCATTGGTTGAAAGTGGGAATATATTTTTGATGCTTGGAGGCTTTAGGCAGGTAAAGTTTATCTTATCTCCACATTTTTTTGGATTTGGAATTTTGGATATAAGAACTTGGTTTGGTATAGTTGCCTATTTAGTGTCCGTCTTATTGACTTATTTTGAACATATTTGGAGAACTCATGGAATGAGCCTGTGTCTTGGCTAGGTTATTAGTTTTGAATTAGTACATAGCTTACTACTTATCTTGGGAGTCCTATCACAATTTGATAAATTGTGATTATATTTTGAAACTTCATAACAATATTATGAAATAGATGCATTCATGATGTTTTATCGTCCTGCAAGCTCAGGCTCAGGTAAGCTAGCCAGCCTAGTCAAGGAGGGGTCGGCCTGTCCAAGGAAATAGGCAAAATAGGCACCCGATTGAGGACCCAAGACGAGATGGCTGGACCAAAGAGGCTGATACAGGCTAGCTTGATTGAAGCTAGCAGTCCTATTCATGTCCTATTCCTTTTTTAGATACATATAAAGTAATTAGCTTATAGTGTTATGTTTACCATTAGTCTTTGAGCTCTTGTAATAGCTATATTAGTCATATAAAAGTCCTCCTTAATAATTAATAAGGTATTTTTTTAAGAATTAAGGATGTTTTTACTTGGACTGTAATTTGCTGGTCTGGTCTGAACTGATCTGGTCTGGTTTCTTTGTATTTTTATAACTATCCTAGTCTGGTCTGAACTGGTCTGGTCTGGGACGAATTACAGTCCAAGTAAAAACATCCTAAGTCTCACTTGTCTTGATAAGACCAACCATTGATTAATTTAATATTAATATTTGATTCAAACTACTCAAAATCCCAACCTCTTTCCTGGTCTGCTATTCCATACCTTGGATGAGATCTCGCACGAACACTCTTATCGATCTGGGATGGACATCTGTTAGAACGCTGGTAAATCCAACACAGTAGATTCAATAGGAAATTCACAAGAAACAAGATCAAGAAGAGTTTATTGACGTAGAAGAAAGTACATATAGTATGCAATGCATAGGACTATTCGAGATGCCCAGTCTCCGAAGTCTAAGTCCAACCAAATGACAGCCTACCTATTTTCCTCCCCTCCTCTTCTGTTTATACTATTACACGCACACCTACTATTCTTCTTCTTCTTATTATTTCTTATTATTAGCTCACTAAGCCAGATTCCTATCAATACTCCCCCCCAAGGTAGTCAAAGTCGCGAGGCGCACTTAAGGCGCTAGCGTACTTGTATCGCCTGAGGCGCAAGGCGCAAAAAAGCGCTCGCCTGACTAGGGTCAAGCGCACTATTTAGACAATATTATGTATACTATTCTAGATTGATCACATATGACATATTCAACATCATATTGAACTAAATGCATCAAAAAGTCATGTTTCTAAAAAATAAAGTCATGATTCACCAAAATAAAGTCATGGTTTACAAAATCAAAACATCGAGTGGGGTCTGTCTTTGTTTTTTTTTCAATTTTACTACTAGAAGAACACAAATCATAGTGTATGAAACTATTAACCGAGTAAGATTATATAAAGTTTTTATACAGTTAAAGTATGAGATGATAATAGGAAGATATAGAGTTATAGACTGTGTAATATGATGAAATAATATAGAGTACATATAATGTAAACTAGTAGTCAAGTACATATAATATGTTTGAGTTGTATAGAATATATTAGAAGCAAAAAGAACAATAAATTATGCAAAGATGACTGAAACTGATAAAAGTAAAGAAAGAAGGTAGACTGAAAGAACAAAATGAAAGTATCACGAAGAAGATGACAAGATAAATGAAAAATACAAGCTGAAAAAGAAGAAAGAACATTGGAAGATGAAGAAGAAGACACCTTATGGGTTTCTGGCTTCTGTGGCTTCGTTGAATGTGTTTTAGCTCTGAGCATGTTGCGCAAGACTTTTCCCACGACTAAGAAGGGTTTAATATTGGTTTATGTTGTTTTTACCTATTATTTGGAAGGGCTAGACCTTATCATTAGTATGGGCTTATTATTTAAAATACGATCAAACAAAAAAATAGGCCGATAAACCTTGCCCAGCCCAGGCGACTTAAGCGTGCGCTTTTCTCTCTTCGGCGCTTCTGCGCTTTATGCGCCTAAGCTGCGCCTGAGATAGGAGGGTGCGCCTGATCATCTTTCAAGCGCTGGACCTCTATTGCGCTGCGCCTGGTGCGCTTAAGCGCTGAGGCGCTCGACTTTGACTAACTTGCTCCCCCCTAAACAACCACCTTGTCCTGAAGGTGGGTGATAGGAATCAGCCATGATCTTCCTCTTCCACTTCCTTCTTGCATCTCTTCCTTCCCAATACATCCCGGTTTTCTGGACCATGATCTTCATTACTTTACCCTTCATCACCCCTTTTGGACAAAGCTGTCCACAACCCGGTTTAACCAGATTTTCTTCAGAAAGAGGTATGCTGTCACTCTGGAGAACATACTGATTGTTCTCTTGCTCAGGTTTTACGGTAGACCAGTGTAAGTTTGAAGAATTAATCTTCCTTGTGTATTATTGAGCCATCCGGCAATGATATATATACAAGTTACAGATAAACTAAAGTTGTTACAGATCCTAAAAATTAGGATCTATCTATTCTATCTAATCTGCGAGCTAATCTAAGAATTAGAGACCTATATCAACTCTAATTCCTATCTATACAGTCCCGGATGTACAAATAATAAAAATAACATGTATATGCTACATTTTTCTACACTCCCCCTCAAGTTGGTAAGTATATATCATACATTCCCAACTTGCTTATAAGAAATTCAAACACTGGTTTAAACAGCCCCTTTGTAAAGATATCAGCTGTTTGTTCTTTGGTAGATATGAATGATGTGCACACAATTCCAGCTACAATCTTCTCTTTGATAAAATGCCTGTCCACTTCAATGTGTTTAGTACGATCATGTAGCACAGGATTGTGAGCAATATTAATGGCCGCTTTATTGTCACAATATAACTTCATAGGTAGTTCCATCTCCATATTCAATTCTGACATCATTCTCTTGATCCAAAGTAGTTCACAGATTCCATTAGCCATAGATCTAAATTCAGATTCTGCACTACTTCTAGCAACTACATTCTGCTTCTTACTCCTCCAAGTCACCAGATTCCCCCATACATAAGTACAATACCCAGATGTAGACCTTCTATCAGTTATTGAACCAGCATAATCTGCATTTGTAAAGGCTTCTACACTTCTATTGTCACTTCTTTTAAAAAATAATCCTTTCTCTGGACAGCTTTTCAAATATCTTTGGATTCTGTAGGTAGCATCTAGATGTTCCTGGAATGGATTATGCATGAATTGACTAACCATACTGACTGCAAAGGCAATATCTGGCCTTGTATGTGCCAGATAAATCAACCTTCCCACCAATCTTTGATATTGGTGAATATTAACTGGTACTCCTTCCTTGACATTTCCTAACTTTTGATTAGGGTCAATTGGAGTATCTATTGGTCTGCAGGCACTCATACCTGTTTCATGGAGTAGGTCTAGTACATACTTCCTCTGGGATACCACAATTCCCTTCTTTGATCTGGCTATCTCCATGCCAAGAAAGTACTTCAATTCTCCCAGGTCTTTGATCTCAAATTCCTGAGCAAGCTTCTTCTTCAGGTCTTCAATCTCTTTACAATAGTTTCCTGTAAGAATTATATCATCCACATAAACAATTAGTACTGCAATCTCTCCCTTAATGGAGAATTTCATGAATAGTGTATGGTCTGCTTGGGCTTGCTTGAATCCCTGCTTCTTTTTGAATTGAGTAAACCTTTCAAACCAAGCCCTTGGGGACTGTTTAAGTCCATATAAGGCTTTCTCCAGCTTGCACACCTTTGAGCCATATTGTTCCTCAAACTCAGGAGGGGGGCTCATGTATACTTCCTCTTCAAGCTTCCCATTTAAGAAAGCATTCTTCACATCTTACTGTTGAAGAGGCCAGTCTAGGTTAGCAGCTAGAGATAGTAGGATCCTTATAGTATTTAATTTTGCAACTGGAGCAAAAGTTTCTGTATAATCTATGCCATAGGTTTGCGTGTATCCTTTGGCAACCAATCTGGCCTTATATCTTTCAAGTGTACCATCTGCCTTGAATTTAGGGGTAAATACCCATTTGCATCCCACCCTTGGTTTGTTTTTGGGTACTTCTACAGCCTGCCATGTCTGATTCTTTTCAAGAGCATTCATTTCTTCTAAAACTGCCTTCTTCCACTCAGGTATAGATAGAGCTTCCTGTATGGTTAAGGGAATAGAAACAGTGGAAAGACTAGAGGTAAAGGCTGCAAATGATGTAGATAACTGAGAATAGGACAGATAGTTTGAGATAGGGTATTTAACACATGATCTTTTTTCTTTTCTGAGAGCGATGGGTAGATTTAGATCACTGAAATTATTACCTTTGTCATTTTCTGACATTGAGTCAGATTCATGGGCAGTGGCAGGATCAGGGATGTCCTCTATTCTGTGATTTGGAACTCTCCTTTCATAAACCTTGCCAAAAAACTTACTTGTCTGCTGTTCATCATCTTTCCTTGTTTCAGAAAAATTTATTTCATTTTCTTTTGACTCTTGACTATTTTCTAGTGCATCTAACTGTCTATTATATTGTGCATCTAGATTAATGTCAAGAGATTCAAGTTTTTCATGTATATGTGACACATTATCACCATCTTCATTAGGAATCTCCCCCTGAAGATGAGTACCAAAAAAAGGTTGATTTTCTACAAAAACAGTGTTCATAGTTATAAACATCTTTTTTGTTATAGGGTCAAAACATTTATAGCCTTTCTGAGTTGAAGATAGTCCTCAGAAAACACATTTTTTGCCTCTAGGATCAAATTTGCTTGCAGTTTAATCAGGGTTGGTAATAAAAACTGTGCAGCCAAAAATTTTTATGGGAAGAGAATTAATGAGCCTAGTTTCTAGAAAACTGGCTTGAAGAGTATCGATAGGAGTTTTAAATCCTAGAGTTTTTGATGGCATCCTATTAATTAAATAGGTA